GCCAGAGTTCCAGGAAGTAAAGGGAGATCTAGTAATCTGCCCTTAGTAAATATGGCCACTGTCAGAAGACCGGGGAAGAAAATAGAAATAAGGTATGCAAAGAATACAAATCCGGCAATTATCTAGAAATATGTGATTGAAGATTTTCATTAATAAACATTTCTAAAGGTGTATTTGTTGTTATTTGAAAGATATGAGTAAAGGTCAATTTTAAGCAATCCCAAAAAATTTACCCTTTGTCTTAAACTCCTCCTGAAAAAAGCCATGCAGTGACAATGACTGAGTCTAGGCACTCCTGCCTATGTATCTGCTGTATTTTGAATGTCAGCAGCGTGAGATTTAGTGACTTTGGTCACTACTGTGCTGCTCACTGTTCTACTTGCTGAAGAGAAAGCTGTATCTGAGATCATACATGTAAGGATCTCCCAACTTCTGCTTCATTCATTCTGTGGATCTGTGCTTCCTCAACCTCTCTTGCTGCTCCTTGGTCATTTCCCCACTGGTCATCAGGGAGTAGCTCTGACATGAGGAAGCCCTGAATTTCTACCAAGATGTCTGCCTCCACACAAAGACACAGAGTGAAACAAGACATGGTAAGTCAGTAATGGGGAAAATATTAGCTTTAGGTATCACTGGTGGACTAGTCCTTTGCCCTCTGCTTGTGTTGTCCGGATACAACTTCAGTTCTTTTATAATAAGCACACTGTATTTACTCAAAATCTTGATTAAATGGGGATCACTTATAAAAGAAAACTTTTTGCTGTTACGGTTTAAAGCCCTTCCATGTGCACCTTGCTGTAAAGCTGGTAACAAATTGATGAGTGTGTTTGCCATTTGTTTTGCTTGACTGATTTGGTGCAGTGACGCATGGGGGGTCTCAGCTGCCGTTGTGATGTCCGGGGTCCTTTGTGCGTCCCTGTGCCTTTAAGGGAGGTTGGGCTTCCTCCTGACAAACCTGCACCCAATTGTATCTTTTGCCACATGTGCTCCAAGATGGAGACTCTCATAGTTTAGAGTTGGGACCGCACTATATAGAGGTGCCTCGGCGCGGCTTTCACATTTCTGCAGAAGACTTGTATCTAAAACCTCTGTTTTTAACCTGCTGTAAAGCTGGTAACAAATTGATGAGTGTGTTTGCCATTTGTTTTGCTTCACTTATAAAAGCAAGCACAAAACAAAAACTACTTCACAGCCAAGTTAACTAAATTTTCTAAAACACCCCAGAAAATTACTGTATTTTGCGCTCCATAAGCTGCACCGGTACATAGGACGCCGGCAGCTTCTGTCACAGTTTCTGTGACAGAAGCTGCAGTAAGTGACTGCTGAGACAGGTGGCGCTGTGGTTACAGTGCCACAGTCTCAGTGATCACACAGAGCAGACGAAGAACAGACGTCTTCGTCTGCTCTAGGGGCTCTATGGTGAGCTCCTATCCCGTGGTCCTGTGTATAAAAAAGATTTGCTCCATAAGACGCACACACATTTTCCCCCGCCTTTTTTTTGGGGGGGGGGAGTGCGTCCTATAGAGCGAAATATACAGTAATTTGGAAAAGTTTTTAATATAGGAACCTTTTTATGTTGATGTTTCTAATAGGAAATTCTTAGTGAAGCACAAAAATATAATATGGCATTTATATTCTGTGAACAAATGGATCTAGACAAATAGCTGTCACCTACCATATAATGCACAAGATGATCACCGAAGGAATATATTTGCAGGAAGATCAGTTTGGCTGATTAGCGTCTACTATGACAATACGATCAGTTTCAAAGTGTGGAACATAATAGCCCATACACACCCCAGCAAAGATTTTCCATGCCCCCCTACTGTCATAACAACACAAGCTCTTTTATATTAAGGAAAAATGTAATAGAATCCAGTCCACAATAATTATTACAATACACATGGGGTAAATTCCATGAAAAGAATTTGGTAACCCAGGTGGTTTATATCAAGGTTTCTCCTCATACCCACTTTAGGAGCTTTCTAGGTAAAATAACCTGCTGAACACCTAGATTCCTTTTGCCAAAGTGCTAAAAATACACATTAGATTTTTTGGTATATTGTTTAATCCTGCCTTTGTTTTTTTTTAAAGTAGCAAGAACACAAACAATAAAACATAGCACATACACACATCAGATACACGCTGTAATATCAAAGTGCTCTGTATTTACAATCAATCAAGGAAGTGATTCTTGTTCATAGAGACAGCTGATGTAATGGCTTACTCATGGGAGAAGATCTCCACTACAATTGGTAATAGTCCTCCCCACAAGCTGTCCACCATCAGATATAGGTGACAGCAACAGATTTAGGGTCAACCTGGGGTATGCCGGTTGGGGTTCACCAACATTGTTCAGCCACAGCTGCCAAATCTTATAGAAGCTTTAGGGACAAGCTCTGCCATTATTATTAATTTTAGGTTTGGGAAGATAAATCCAACAACCTGGGAGATTGAAAGGCAAGTTGTTTCTTTCCAATTCAGGAATATAACAACATTTCCAGAAAAAAAGAAGAGAGTCCAGAAGCCCAACAGGCATACCTCTGGAGATTTTGGACCTGTAAACCCCAACTTAGACACCAGTAAGTTACATATTCCAGTCCAGAAGGAGAATGCCATTGGGCAAGTCCAGAACATTTGCAACACCTCAGTTGGAGAGCTAGAGCGGCAAAAACTAGCATCATTAGCAAGTATTCCAAACTAATGAAGTCTTGCAGCATTATAATAAAAGCTGATGAAGAAATTTAAATTGAATATGCTTGTTCGCTGTGCTGATAATTTCTTTGAACCAAACCAGTTTCCGGTCCTCCTACATGTCATCCTTCAAAGAAGACAGTGCTAGTGCTGAGTAGAATCAAAGGGACAAGAAGTACTGGTCTGAAGAAATGCATACATATTGGATGTGGCCTTGTCCAATGTGTCATTAAACATTAGAACTGGAAAGGTGAATTGGAAGTTATTCCTGCCTTTATACTGGCATATAATATAACACACCCTCCTTTTCACTGATTGGAATATATGTGTATCCTTTCAGAACCCCACAGAAGATGCAGGGATGCCAACTAAATACATTTTACTCCAATAACAGCACCAATATGTTTAGGCACCAATGTCAACAGTAACACTCTCCAAAAATGTGGGTGTCCATACTGGACAAGTGATTCATATAGAAGGTGTATATACCAGGGACATGCGGTCAAGGGAGGCAGGTGAGGCAGAGCCTCACCTAGTATTATGGAGGAAGAAGCGGTCAGCTTCAAGTCTGAAGCTGACAGCTTTTTCTCCATTCAGATCAGCTTGTTACAGGTTATAGAGCAGGGGAAGCCTCCACGCTGTGTAACCTGTCATGGAAGGAGCGCTGCCTGTTAATTACAGGCAGCGCTGCATCCAGCTTTTGACAGGTATTTAGGTTACACAGCAGCAGGCTTCCCCACTGCTTGTGTAACCTAACTATTGAGGAAAGAGCTGTCACAGCCTCTACTCTTTGTTAGAGGCATGAGCTCTGTGAATGGCTTGGTCCAATGGCAAAGCGCCATTGGTCCAAGCTGTCCAATAAAAAATAAAAAAACCCACTGAGGACATCGATCTCGATGCCTCATCAGTGACGAGCAAGTGAGGGACAGGGAGGCTCCTCCCACCTTCACACTAGCTTGGGGACCAGGTTGGGAGGTGGGGCTTCGTCAGGCTGGGGACGTAGCTATGATTTGATATGGGTGGGGCTTTGTCCGGCTGGGGGCAGTGTTGGGCATGCTGGGGGCGGGGCTGGGGGAATGCCTCACCCGAAACCCACGGTACCGCACATCACTGGTATATACAGTCCCCATAAAAAAAAGTTTAACAGCACAAGATCAAAACTAGGGTCAGATGATTATGAGGCATGGATTTTTTTGGTGCCCTGACAAAAAAAGGACCTTAGTATTTGAAAGTATATCACCTAATTTGCATAAAATTTGTATCATCATATTTCTGGAACCCTGAATTCATGAATACATTTACAGTTTATCTATGATCTTATTCCAAACATGGGCTATCTCAATACAAACATTTAAATATAGGTCAAGGGTGTACTTAGTGATTGCAAGGAATGTCAGCACAAGCAGGGGAATTTATCAAAACTGGAGCAGACAGAATATGGAGCAGCTGCCCATGATAACCCATGATCAGCTTCTCTCTTCAGTTTGTTCAGTTAAGATTTGAAAATAAAAAGATAGAAGTTGATTGGTTGCCATGCAGAGCTGCTCCAGATTTTGTCTGCTCCAGTTTTAATAAATTCCACTCATGTATCAAAGTATTAACTCAAAAAATACATATTTTAAAAACACTGAACTAGAAAACCGTAACTGAATAAAGCTTGATATATGCATACAGGGAACATTCAGACATTTATGTACAAATGCAGCAATCTCCAAGTGTCAGCAGGCAAACATTCTGCTCTCTGCACAAGTACTTGATTAGGTAATAAAGAGGTACATGGGAGCCAGAGTTTTCACTGCTTGCACACCATCCTGGCCTTTTTTTCAAGGGGAACAATAATAATCATTCATGTTTTTCTAGCCTTTCCAATTGCTTCATCCTCCTCAAAAGAACAGTTGTACAGAACTGGATGAGGGCACCCCATAGGTACTAGATTGTTATGTTATCTAGCTGTTTTGGCCCACACGGAAAGACCTTCTTCTAATATCTTTGAGTACCCCAACTGCGTCTTTAGAATAACAGCCCATACAAGATACTCTTCTGAACACAGAACACAAATTCACTTCAACGTTTATTCCTGTACTTGGCTTCAGCACTTTATAGAAACACAGCTGGAATATTACTGCATGAATAATATTGCTCAGATAGATTTAGCAATGTTAGGACGCTAGCACAAATGTGAGCTGGGGTCAGGCCCGGCGCTACCGCAAGGCAAGTCAGGCGGCCGCCTGAGGGCGCTGCAGGGTGAGGGCGGAAAAACAGGGTGGTATTTAAATTATACTACACATATGATAGTTTGAACTCACTTCTCCCTGAAGGTGTCCTTCTCTTGTTCACTCCACATGTTCATGACCTGCCGTTCCTTGTACACCTTCATGGGGTCATCCATCAGACCATTCATATTGATGAACTTAATACGCTGCTGCTCAGCATCAAACAGCATGGGTGGAATGACCGCTAGTTGACGCATCTGTCTCTCTAGGTTCTGTAAAAAATAGCAAAGTTATTAGGAAAAAACATGTTGCTGAGCAGCCATAGGATTCTTGAGCGACATACATTGCTACAATTAGCACATGGAAAGACCATTAACATTTGTAGTAAACATAAAGAGTGACTGACAGGGTGTATGTTGAGGTTACATCTGTATATTTTGGCTGTAGGACTAAAGCTGGCCATACGCTCAGCAATTTTCGGCCAGTTTTACATGAACTGGCCAAAGTTTGCTCAGTGGGTGTCCCTGGTGGCAGCCGTTTGCCCAATATCCTTCAACTGGAAAATCGAAGGAACCAGGCACACAATTCTCAGCAGAACAGGCAGGCTGTCAGTTTAGCTGTTAGTCTTAAAATAGTAAACTGTCCTGCTAGCACTGTAGATATTCAGTACCTATAACTATATAGACCTCAGAGATGTGGTTTGGATAAGGAAATCCTGTGCTGATGTTATCAGTGATTTATCTCAGAAGGGTACTTCAGGATGCTGCAAGGGAGATTTGTTTTGTGTCACCTCTGCATGTCAGATAACTGTGTGACAATGCTGCAATGGATCACAATGCCAAATAACTTGTATTTTCACAAAATACATCTAGTCATGTGTTCATGTATCCTATGAATATGCATGTCTATGGGCCCAAATAAATGAATTCTGTTAAAAAAAGTTATATTCTCTCTATTAACATTGCTCAGCATCCCATGTTATAACGTCATGTGTACTTCATTAAGAAAATACTGACGATTAGGCTGCAATGTTTGGTGATAAACTACAACTTGTTACTTTTTGACCATGTTTAACATTCAGTTTAAAGGAGTAACTAGTTAAAAATAATAATCACTGACATGTGATCTGGTCACAGCTCTGGTCCTATGCGAATAGAGGATCAGCAATGGATGGGTTTCATTTTTATTTTTCTAACAAAATTTTAAATAAGTTACGTGGTTCCCTCCCTCCTCAGAGATACAAACACCACGCACCAGACATAGGGGCTGGCACACCTATGGCAGGAGGGCTCATGACTACCTCATGTTGACCCCAGCATATTTACAGTACACTTTAACATTCAGACTTGGTTTTAAAGTAGTACCCCCAAAAACAAAAAGGCACATCAAACCTATGGGACCAAAGCTATCAGCTACCATGCTCGTCAGTGCTCCCAATGGAGAGGGTAGGTGCCATCATTGAGCAAGGGTTTACAGCAGGGGTCTCAAATTCAATCTACTCAGGGGCCACTGGACAAATGTTTTAGTCCTGTGGGGGCTGCTCCTATATACAGTACCAGTGTTAATGTCTGCACATGTTACAAGCAGCAACTGTCACCTATTCAAGTTAATGATCGGGTGACAGCTGCTGCATGTAAATGCCTGCACACCGCATGTAAATCATATGACACACATATTAATAAAGCTGCCCCCTCCCTTCTTTCCTTCCAAGACCCCCTCACCTGCTTGCATCTTTGCAGGGAGGAGGCACATCATCAGAGCTGTCAGAGCTCTGGCCAGAGCTGACAGGAGCAGCTATGCAGGTCCGAATCCGGCAGAGATGCAGACCGTGTAGCTGCTCCTGCAAGTCAGGCACGCGGTCCATGACCGTGTGCCCGACTTGTCAGCTGGCTGCGGGCCACATCGTACCGGCTCGCGGGCCGGTACTTTGAGACCCCTGGTTTACAGTATATGCAAAGGGAAAAATGTAAAGGGGTTTTTGGGAGCCCTTACAAGTTCATTATATTTCACATATTTAAATGGACTTTATTTAAAGCAGAACACAAGCAAAAAATAAAAAGATAAAAATGAATAACTTATCAAATGATAAAATAAATCCAACTTCTGCTGAATTATTAAGCTTCAAATGTAAAGGTTTCCCCCACAGTACTTTTTTTTTTAATGGCCAGCATCGTTCATTTAACTAGCTCTGAGCCCAGCTCATCCTGGACCAGCCGCAGTCTGTGACCAGACAACAGCCGCAGTCTGTGACCAGACAATGAAAGCAGAAGCAGCACAATGATGAGCCCATCTCTCTGTCCCTCTGATTGTTTTATTCTATCACGATGCTTCTTGTCAGCACATGAACCGATTGGCAACTTGTGCTGCTTCTACCTCTCACACTCCAGCCCTGCTAAACAGGGACTACAAAAGGCTGATACCAAATCAAACACAGGTACCTCCAATTCATCACTATTACATTTTAACAAAAACTAATCTACTTGGGATCTGCACCATGTCTGCTTTCACAGTATAATTCGTGCCCTGACACCTGCCATTCTTAGGCTCGCCATATACTATTGGATATTAGGTGATTCAGAGAAATTCTTACAGTGGGTGGCCCTGCCGGCTCAACAAGAGTACTTTTTGAAGGAGCCAGGCAAAAAATTATCGGCTGATCAGTGACTGCAGCCAATCCAGTTGCTGTCATTGTTCATGTATTCTGACAGTGACAAGCGCCTGCTGTCAGACTACAATAACTGCAGTGTCAGTTCAGCTTTTAGATCATTCTAATGTATATGAATGTGCACTCACTAAAATTTCTCTAAACACGGACTCTCCAATTAAAGCAAAGCGGATTATTAAATAGGCAGGATAAAACATTCCATGTTTATGGAGTCCCTGTAATTCTATTACAGTCTACATTTTAGTTGGCATCTGTAAATATCTATCACCTGTTATTTGCTATGCAGACATATTCTGGTAGTGGGTATTGTAGCGATTGACATATGCACGAAAGTAGCCTTACCTCCTGCTCTGACAGTCCGTCAATAATTTCTGACACTTCATGCTCACTGCGTGCGGCAGATAAGGACAGGCCACTTCCCCTCTGTCCTACCCTGCTGAGAAAAGAAATTGAAATGTTCAACCACCTGTAGTGATGCGTGAGCAGGTTGTATGGATGAGCAACTTAACATGGTCACTGAAGGCATTCATAGTACGCTTGATATCCAGGGCTTTCCATTGCTAGAACAATACTTATAAACTTATGTTATTTCCTCTGTGTGACATTTCAAACAGCCAACAGCCAGAAGTACCTCGAATGCAAACAGTAAGATGAAGAGAACTATTAAACAGAATGATGCCGCTGTGTCTTAGCAGATTATACATAAATGTAATTATGACTATATCACACTTAGACACATCATCGCTTGTTTTAGCACCAGCTGTATACTAAACACATTCCACAGGGATAGATAGATACGTGTACAAAAATATATTACTATATTACTTACACTGCGTGCACAATTATTAGGTAGCTTATATTTTTGAGGATTAATTTAATTATTGAAAAACTACAGTGCTCTTGGTCAATCCAAAATGTTGTTAAACCTGAAACCTGAATATTTAAGAAAGTAAAAGTGAGGTTTTGGGAGAACATATATGTGTGCACAATATTTGGGCAACTATTAGTGTGCAGGAATATTATTAAGGGTGCACCGAAATTAAAATGTCAAAACCGAAACGAAACAGAAATGAAAACAAATGTCAGACTGAAACCAAGACCGAAAATGTTTTTTATTCCAACAAATTATTTACATATTTTATACCAGAGCCTCCCAAACACTGCTTAGAGAGGTGTACTGTTTTCCTTCACCGAAAATCTACCGTTTAAGAAGGGCCCACAAATTCTAAATAGGGTTTAGGTCAGGTGAGGAAGGGGGCCATGTCATTACTCTTTTATCTTTAAAGGAGAACTATGGGACGCCGTAGCCGGGACGAATCCAGACAATACTGTCTGGATCCGCCCAGCTGCGGGATTGACAGCTGGCTCTGCCTATGCAGAGGCCGAGCCAGCTGTGCCCGCCCCCTCCCCTGTCAGTTTCGCCCCTCAGCGCTGGAGGGTCGGACCGGGGAGGGGGGGGGATCCCTGCAGGGAGCCGTGACAGTCACGGCTCTCTGCAGGGATAGATCGAGAAGTGAGTGAGGGACGGTATGTGTTCGCTCACTTCATTGTCACAGGTCGGCTCAGATTATGAGGCTGAGTGAAAATCACTCGCCTTATAATTCTCCTTTAAGGTCTTTACTGGCTAGCCATGCAGTGGAGTACTTTGATGCATGCGATGGAGCATTGTCCTCCATAAATATAATGGTCTTCTTGAAAGATGCAGACTTTTTCCTGTACCACTGCTTGAAGAAAGTGTCTTCTAAAAACTGGCAGTAGGTTTGGGAGTTGATTTTTGAAACCATCTTCAACCCGAAAAGGTCCAAGTAGCTCCTATTTATATATACCAGCCCATCAGTACCCACCTCCACCTTGCTGGCGTCTCAGTCGAAATGGAGCTCTGTGCTCGTTACTGATCCAGCCACGGGCACGGGCCCATCCATCTGGTCCGTCAAGAGTCTCTTTCATCTCATCAGTCCATAAAACCTTTGAAAAATCTGCCTTCAGATATTTCTTGTCCCCGTCTTGACATTTCAACTTCTGTGTCTTGTTCAGTGGTGGTCGGGTTTCAGCCTTCCTTACCTTGGCCATGTCTCTGAGCACTGAACACCTTGTACTTTTGGGCACTCCAAGTAGGTTGCAGTTCTGGAATATGACAGCACTGGAGGATAATGGGTTCCTGGTAGTTTCACGTTTGATTCTTCTCAAATCTTTGGCAGGCAATTTGTGTCTTTCTTTCTCAACACGTTTCTTGCTGGCTCTTTGCAACAAAACGTTTGATGGTTCTGTGGTCAAGCCCCAATATCTTTGCAATTTCAAGAGTGCTGCATCCCTCTGCAAGATCTTTTTACCATTTTTGACTTTTCAGAGTCAGCTAAATCTCTTTTTTGGCCCATTTTGCCTGAGGAACAGAAGCTGCCTAATTATTATGCACACCTTGATATAGGGTGTTGATCTCCTAAAGCTACACACTCCCTCATTACACAAATACACATCACCTGATATGCTCAAATCTAATAAGCCTTCAAGTTTACAATATGCATCAAGTTGGACAATATGCATAAAAATGTGGTCAAAATACTCACTTGCCTAATAATTGTGCACACAGTGTATATACCACCACAACACTATCCTAATCCAAATATATTGCATATGTGAGAACGTCCAAGCTTTTGAAACTTTAAGAACTCTACCTATGTTGCTTTAAAGTATTTACCCTATTTAGCTAGCATTTCTGCTCAGCCCTCCTAAAAGCAATATTAGCTACACAGTAATATTTATTAAGGACAAGAGTAATGTGCAATAACTCATCAGGGATCATCTTATTTTGGTATACATAAACAATGAGAGGGGATTCAATAAAGGCTTTTTGACACAATTCTGGCATTATGGATGTATCTAGAACTCTGGCACCAAATTCATAAAAGGTTTGCGACAGTTCCATAGCTAATACCGACCTGTGCAACAAATTCACCAAGCTCTTATTTACAATACTTTTCTAATATGCCGCTATGGCTGCTACAAATTCATTATTAATTCCGCCAAATGTAATTTTGGAGCAAACAGTGACACCCCTCCCCCATCACTGATTGCTAGAACGCCGTCAGCCTACAGTGCCAATGGTTGCTAGGATGCTACCGGCCTAGAGCATCATTGGTTGCCAGGATACTGTTGGCCCACAGCTTCATTGGTTGCCAGGACACTACTTACCGTACATTACACATTATATATATATATATATATCAATTCTTACATGTGGTGGCTGCCTCATTTACTTACTATAATGCATCTATGGAGAAGCAATTTTATCAAGAATCATTTAATAACACAGGACACCTACCTCCCCCTCTTCTCCTTAACATAGGGGGAGGTATTCTGTGCACATAGAGAACTGGGAACAATGCTAACTAAGAAGAGTGCAGCAGAGGCAGAAATTACAGAAAGTTATTAGCTCACTGGATTTCTGACAGGAGCAACAGGCATTTTTTTTTATTTACTGACTATAACCAAACACTTACAATGGCATATTTAACAGGCCAAAAGGGAACAAATAGAGGAAGTTAATTTTTAAGGTTGATATACACTTTAAGAGGAAGATCAGCAATCTGTAGCAAATAATCATATATTATATTCTACTGTTTAAACAGTTGGGTTTAATAGTGGAATTTAAATGTCATGGGTTTCTTCAGAGCAAGTGGCTGTGAAGTTAATGCATACACTGAAAAGGGATGAACATAAAACACATAAACACCAACCTTTGCATGCGTTCTTGCATCTCCCTCTGCTTGCGGATCTCTGGAAACTGTTTCTCATAGTACTCCCTTATTTTACTTTCTTTTGCTCGCCTTCGTGGATTATTTTCAATTCGCTCCACCTTCTTCTCCCAAGCTTCCATTAGCTGGTCATAGCGTTGGCAAAGCTTCTGTTCCTGAAGGAGGTATATACAAATCCTTTAGAAAAAGCTGACCGTAAATACAAATAAAAAAAATCAATCCCTAGAACGAGCTTTTTCATATGCTGCAGCATATCGGTCCTAAATTTTGTCTTCATTAGTTTTATTTTTTTCAGGCATTTTCCATCTTTATTTTCAACTGATGATTCTGGCAGTAACACATTTCCTGTCTTATGGTGACAATGTTCGCTCGCTGTTCATTCGCTCAGCGTTGCCAGATTTGGACTACAAACACCTTCCTCTCTTCTCATTTCTATAACATAGGGGGGAAGCCAAGGTGTTCCCTAGTTCACAGGAGAAAACTGGTGATAGCTAATAATATCGTTTAAGAATTCTGTTCAGTACATAGGAAGTTAGAAGCATGCTGGATTTCTAGCACGAACAACAGGTATGCTTCTGTACTGCAGACAATGTACTTGGCCTTCAAACAAAACAAATGCAGCCACCACATCTAAGGACTAGTAAGATGTGATATATTACATTTTTGTTCTTGTGTTTAGATGCATTTATAGTGATCATTGTGAATATAATGAGGTCCGATTACCACAAACTGAGTGGGGAGAATGGGGGCTCCCATTCTCATGAGAAAATGTTTGTGGTGGACAGCCGGAGACAGTGTCACATAGTAACCACTAAATACCTGTGCATTGACACATGCCTGAATCATGTGTTGCCCAAGCAAATTCCCAATGCCCAAAACATGTAATAGAACTGTTGCATACAAAATACCCACTGCAGATTTGAATGTGGCGCTCATGAGTAATCTGCCTAAATTTGAAACTCAAAAATAAGGCATAAGTATCAGCAGTCTTATAGACAGAAGCATGCATGTGCTTCCTATACATGTCCTGGAGGTGTAGTGTTTTGTGCTGCCCGATGAAAAGAGGTGGGAAAGGGTGGGACTTTGTGTTCCAAAGCTTAAACCCATGACATTTTGCATGACATAAGATGTTAGAGTGGAGAGAATGCAGACATATGAATATACTGTACACCCAAATTCTGGGACCCTGGAGCCACACAAAGTCCAATGGCCACTAGTTTTCTGTACCGTTGTACAGTATTAATCTTGTGCACTGAAAACAATACAGGGAAATTAAATTAGTATATACAGTATATAAGCAAATGTAGCCACCCAATAGTATAGCATCTAGAAAAGGTTGGTCAGCAAGTTATATCTGTACCCTGCTAATTTACCATCCTAACCAATAGCTGTAGTGCCCACAGCGCTGGCAATAAAGCAAGGAAATTCTGTCATCCTTTCTGTATATTGTTTTACTGACTTATACAGGGTTGTTCACAAAAGGGTGAAGAGTTTAGAGTAGTGAATAATCTAGGACAACATAGTTGAACTGGAAAGTGAGCTGAATTGGAGAATTTTTCCAAATCGGCTATGTTGTCCTAGATTGTTAACTTCTCCTGCCTTCTCCTAACTCTTCACCCTTTTGTGGATAGTCCTGATAGTGTTTTATGGACTTCTGCCAGCACGATTTCTTCTGTGCTTATAAGTCATCAACGTTTATCCTCAAATAGAGTGGGGCTTGCTTTTCTTGCCTCTATAAATAAAGAATTAAAAAAAATAATAGAGTTTATTATTTTAATTCTACCGTGTATATAAATCAAGGAAGCTAAACCCAGGCGCAATGCATGGACATGCAACATGTGCTGCTATGCTTTGCTTTGGAAGAAAATCCTGCATGCTATATTTTGACTAGTGATGAGCCTGGGCTTGGTGTGACCCAGTTGGCCTGAGTTTGCCCAAACCCGCTCAGAACTGGTAAGTATATTCTCTGTAGATTGTATTGAAAGACACTGTGCCGCCAAATTGGTACAAAACCTAGGCTCATCTCTAATTTTCACCACTTAAATCACCTAGAAAAATGCATGTCAATGCAAGCTAATGCAAAATGTGTTAATGTAAGTATTGTGGTGTAAATGAGTCCTTACTGTAATTTATTGCAGGACAGGAAAATACTCATGAATGCTAGCTGATCTATATCAGTGACTGAAAAACAAGGATTTAAGGCAAACTATTTCAAAAGCAGCTGGAGAGCCAGAAAAAAATAATAAAGTAAATTGGCTGGAAAGACTATAAAAAAAGACTCAGCTTCTGATAACTGTTTTCATGCTGTCTCACAAAATGTCAGCCAATTTTCCTTTTTATGCCCCGAGAGTAACTTTGTTGGTCTTTTCCAGAAATATATAAGATTATCAATATACTGTGCTGATTTTGCACTGAGTGCTAAGATTCCTCCTTCCAGAAATCAGGCCCCCAGAGTAAGCGGGCAGTCTATACGATAATCAATATTCAGTAAGAAGGGCCGAAGAGAGAAAAATAACTGTATTTCAACAGTCTCAGCAAAAGAACTGAGTGCCCTACCAAGAAATACAAAATATGAAAAATGCAAAAGGTTACATAATGCTTCATCTAAAATTAAGATCACATAACAAGCTTGGCAATCTCATACAATCTGAGCTCCATGTAACTTATCACACAGGATTTTAATTACAAGGCACATGCAGCATCAACAAAACTTTCCATCATAAACTTCCATACGCTTGAGTCGGATAGTCATCCCTGACACTGCCTGACGGCTTTTCTTTGTTCATTTCATATGTGATCTTAGAAAAACTCACAAAAAGATCTGCTTATGTGACCTAGCTTTTAAGACATATGAGTAAAATGGACTACAGTACCCTGGAAGCAATGGAAGGAAATCTGAGACCTTCAAGGAAACCAGTATGTCATATAATAACAGGGGGCTTCCAATGTTCACCTCCTTCTGCCAATGCTATCTGCATGGCCATCTCTGGCTACTTTCTACATCCCTGAATAAACATACAGATTACAATGTCAAAATGAAATCATAACTCCGGATCTATATATTTGTTTCAGGTGAGTGTCTTAAAAAATATTAAAGTCAGGCAAATTACATTTCAGAAGGGGAGGTCAGTAACTGCACTCTGTATTTTCTGTGTGCATGTTTCCTTACAATTGATGGGAGCTAATTTCACAAAGCTAAAAGCTTCCATGTTTTCATCTTATTTAGACTAGGGTACATGGGCAATAGGCCTAGTTCACACAAGCTCCAACTTGTATAAGAGCAGTGTGAACAGCAATCTTTAACAAAAGCATTTTTTGAGCTATTGGCCAGTTTTGTTGAAGCTTTTAAAGTATCTTCCTGCTCCAGTTTGGGAATGTTAAAGACAGATCTTAATGGGAGTGCCAACTATCACTTTAAACAAGCTGCTAGCAAGCTTCTTTACTACTCGCATGTTGAAAACCTGCTGCAGTCTATCTGCAGCTTGATTAAAATGACAGTCACCACTCCCATTAGGATCTTTGTTTAACATTCCCAAACTCTGCTCTTCCACATTGCCATAAAAGGGTTAAATCTCTCAGATGGGATAGCGGTAACTGCCCATGTAGCTCCAGAATACATTGTACAATTCTATGAAAACTGGGGCAATGAACACTAAAGAAAAACTGGAGTAGTTGTCCACTGTAATAAACCAGATGTCTTGTTTCTTCTAATTGGGTCTTGTGGCCAAACCGTTCCACTTTTCTCTGCTAAACTCCACTAATTTAGAAAAATTCAGGTAAATGTTTGTGGAAGGAAGTGTTAAACCATGTCAAAATGATTCTACATTTTAAACATTGCCTGGCCCCTATGGGTAGAGTGGGCTGAAGCAACACATGACTTTACATGCCTCCTGGAGCTGTTCAGTTATCACCGCTTATAAATGTCAGAATTCTCCTAGGGTGATCTGTACATAAAACATCCTTTTACACCTCCAGCTAAATGTGATGAATCACAGGCACAAGGCAAATCAATTGGCTGAGTGTAAGCAGAACTGTTGCTAATTAGCACAATTTATAGATAAAATATAATTAGCTCTGCAGAACGTTGCTGCCACTTAACAACTCACCATTTTGCACTGTATATGACATACTGACTTATAGCTGACATACCTAAACTTGCACAATGCCTTTGGCAAGTCACTTCACTGAGTGGTCCCAACTCATCCCCTCCTCCCCCAATCAGCTGATTTAGAGGGTGGATTAATGATCGGCCATGTTTATCCAAGCACATGGACAAGAAGGGAGGGTAATCATGGCAAATAGAATCCCATATGGTGCACTGATTTCTTTTTACAATTAATTTGTCATATCCACTATATTTATAAAGCGACAAACAGCTGACTGGTGACCTGAAAAATGGGGAACTGCTGTAGTAGAAATGTTTTCAAACAGTTGAGACAAAACTGTCAGCTGGACTAAACATTTTGACTGTCAGATGACTGTGTTGGCAAGATAACTGTGCGCATTTTTCCTTTAAACTTTTAAATGTGGCAACATTAAAATTTGTGACAAAAATGGCTGTACTTGTAACACCGAGAGCGACATAAGGAAAAGTGGAGAACATTTCTTTATAAATTGGATGAAAACATATGACGGAAACACAAAACAGGATTTGATGCTTTCTACATTACCCTACACGTCCTGTTACATTCATAGGTAAGTGACAAAAAGCAGATACTCAACTGTCAGTTAAAGGCACACTATACATCAAAACATATTGGGGGAAATCTGTCAAAGCAATTGCGACAGGTTTAGCCTCTTAGATCATTTTTTTTTTTATGTGCAAATCTGTCTTTCAACATGTGCCCCTGTTTTAACCTGAGCTTGCACTACTTTTTCAGTTGCATGTATTTCGCACCTGTTTTGACCTGAGCTTGCACTTCTTTTCCAACTGCACGTGTTTTGCACCTGTTCATCAGAGCTTGTACTACTTTTTCAGTTGCATGTATTTCGCACCTGTTTTGACCTGAGCTTGCACTTCTTTTCCAACTGCACGTGTTTTGCACCTGTTCATCAGAGCTTGTACTACTTTTTCAGTTGCATGTTTTTTGCACCTGTTTTCATCTGCACTTGTTCTGGGCTGTCTGAAACTGGAGCATCACCTAAGAAAACAAAC